AACTAAGCCTGCCTAAAACCAGGGATCTGTATGTCTTTATCCCAGACATTTCAGGTGGACAAATTACTCCTGGTGATGGAAATGTCTTTGCCATGCTCAGAGGCCTCTTGTAATTGTTGATTCATGTTCCAGCACTGAGCTTGGGAATAAAAACTGATTCATGGCTGAGTCAATTTAAAAACGATAACAAACCTGAAGCATTATTGCTATCTTTTTTGAGTTCTGATCAAGTATTAAGGATTCCTTGTATATCAAGATTAATGTCTGATTTGTTCTGATTTAGAATTAGAGAATTATGGCATTTTGGGAATCTCAGAGCTTTTGGTGAACAAACCAAACTGTGAACAGCAGCTAAGCCTGCAAAATGCAACTGAACTTGCAAGGTTACCAAGATAAGACTTCTTAAAGAAGAATTCTTCTTGCTATTCTTCAGAGTGTCAATCATGGGCCATCACTGATAGAATAGAAATAACTACATTTAATAGAAACATCTATAAATACAAGAAGATAAACCATGGCTATTTCCAGCCATGAGGTGGACAGGAGATAATCATTTCCAGCATGCAATTTAAGAAGCAAAGTCTTGCTTTTGCTTATGGCCCTAAACAATAGCTTCTTTTGGACAAATAGCTATTGTTGGAAAGAGGGTAGAAATGGAGGCAAGGCTCCCTCTTTCACACATGACTACATGGTTTGCTGTCACATCTAGTTATCAAAGATTTGCACCCACCTTTGAATCTAGGACTGGAAATTGGGGAGATAAGTATAATTGGGTTTCGCTTTGGTGCATAACAATTTCTGGATCCCATTTTATAGGAACCCCTAGACCAGCCTTCTCCAATCTGATACCCTCCAGCAGTTTTACTAGTTCCCAAAGTCTCAGTCAGCATGGGAATTCTGGGAGCTATCATTCTGATATTATAGAGGGCTCTGGCTGCTCTGCAAATGACTCCATTGTCTCTAATTCTAGTTACTGATTTAACCACCACAACAATCCAAAAACCTTTCAGATTTTTCCCCTCAATAAAAATGTTCTTTTATACACACACACACACACACACACACATACATACACTATTGAAAAGGTGATTTTAGAACTAATTGGAATCCATTTAATTATTTGTTTTAAAACTTGCCATAAAGTTGTGGGGCAAAGGTGTGTCATTTGCTGTTCCTTTCAAGTGTTCTAGGGAGAATGGATCCCATCCATTCAAAGGAAGGCAGGCAGGCAGGCAGGCAGGCAGGCAGGCAGGCAGGCAGGC